TCACCAGATACGCACTCTAATGTTCTTGCTTTGAGGTGGACTTCTTGTCAACCCTAACTGGATTTGCGCAAGCTGAGGTTGTAGGGCTGACCAGCTCCCATGTTCGAATTGCCACTAGAGGTTGTGGATCTGCCGCCGCTAGGCCGCAGATCCATTCCCTTGCCTACTTGTTGGGGCCTCGGCCTTTGCCCACCAGCGCAAGGTGGGGCGGGGTGTCTTTGATTTACCTGTGTCCGGGGCTCGGGCATGGTCCTAAGGATTGCCCAGGGGTGAGGAAGGGGTGGCCTTCCTACTTATTCCTTTGGTGTTTGGTGGCTGCGGGTTTGGGGTGGGTTAAAATCGTTTGTGGTGGGAAGCTCAAGCTCATTCTCCTGCATAGGTGGTGGCGGTGCCCAAATCCGGATCTGGAGGTTTGCACTCGCCCGTGGTTGTTCAAGGCACATCATGATAATACGGGTGAGCCGTCGAGTGAAAGTTTCATGCTTTGGCGTCGTCAGCGATGACGTCCGCGGGTGCCGCTCTTCTCTTGAGGATTCATTGTGGCCATGTACTTCGTGCTTTATCTATAAAGCGAGGTGAGAGCCTGTTTTGTGTATGTGAGTTTTTTTCTTTCTTTCTTAATCCCCGTTGGAATGTGGAGACGACATCCAGTTTTATGATGTGTTTGAACTATTTGATCAGTAACATGTTGGTTTACATTTGAATTCGAAATTGGAACTATGGTGTTTGAAATATTGCTGAGTTATAGTATATATATGGCTGAATTAAACGGATGAATTGTGGCGCCAAAATGTGTCATGTACTATGTAGTTTATGCAGTGTACATATGGAAAACAAAGTGAAAATTAAGGAGGAAATTACTAGGAGCCCTGCAAAATGAGCATGGCTTATTAGTGGTTAAATCCTACCAGCAGTTTCCGGCAAAAAAAAAAGAAATTCCTGCCGCGGCGCTCTCCTTCGCTATCGAGTTTGTCATCTTCGTCGCTCGCATGGCGGCGGTCGCGTGTCTCCGCTCGTTCGCACCGGCGGTCACAGGAATCAGGCGTTGCAGGGCCGCGCGCTCACCACGATGAGGTTCGAATCCGCCCCTCCCTTCGTTTATAGTTCCGGTTCGGCCGCCGGCGAGTGGACACGAGAGGGGATCGGGGTGGCGTGTCGCCGGCCGCTCGATTTGTC